ATATAAGTCGTTCGGTATATAGTTCGGCAGTAGTCTATTGCTATAGCTGTGCACATGAAACTCATTATTGATTATTGATAGGAGATGGGACGGTTATTAATTCGTATACATGCTATGACCATACTTAAATTTTTTTCATGATTATTGAGATTAATTATTGCATAGCGGTGAGCACCTCGACTTTCCTATTGTGCTCATCCCCACCTGCTCTTCATGGATGCAAGTTAGTTTATGCGTAACGGCGGAAGGGATGCGAGTGGTGGTCTTTAATTTGTTTAATGCTTCCGCCTTGAAAACTGAACTTGGATATTATCGCATTTGAATTATTGGATTGTTGTTTTCTCTAGTATTGTATTATTGATAGGGATTATTTTCCTGGGATTATTATAGGATTATTATTGATTATTGGGATTGTCATATTGATTATGAGTATTGATAATTGTCGAGTATTGAGAAATTTATGAGTATTGATTATTGTTTTGAAAAAGAGTAGTGTCTCAGGTATTTATTTTCGATAAATAAAAGTGTTATTGTTTTGAAAAAGAGTAGCGTCTCGTGTATTGATTTTCGGTAAATAAAAGTGGGGCGTTACACCTTCTCGGTTCGGCAAAAAAAAAAAAATCGAGGCTCGATAGGGACGTTCAATAATTAAAATAGAAACCGGATAAATATACATATAATACATAATTAATGTTTATATAAAAACACTTAGACAAGTAATATTAATATTAATAATACTAATAATAACAAATAATAGCAAATAAGCATTTTAGGCATTTAGCAATAATATTTATAATAATGATAATATAGCAACAATCAATTAGGTAATTAAATAATAATAAATAATAATAACAACAACAATAATAAAGAAAAGAAAACCCCCAATTTCTCTCTCGGCGACGAAACCCCTATTCCACTTGCAGGTTCTCCTCTTCCCGGTGATTCCGCCTTCCTCGGCGACGGGAAAACTCTGCTAGTGGTCGTCATCCACCGTTACTTCCCCTCACTGGCGATGTGCGTCACATTTACTGCTTCAGATGGCCGTTGACAGAGCGTCAAGTTCGAGGTTACAGATGGAGTTGCGGAAGGCGCTAGCGCTCCTCGAGATCGAAGTATGGCCGACGATTGAATTCTCTTTTAAGTCACCGGAGGTGCGGAGATTTGTGACGATAAACTCTATTTTCTGCCCTTTGTCCGCGATTTTCGAATTTTCCTGTCTCCGGCAGCACTTCACTGTTCTTGTGGGGCTCTGCTGCTTGTTTTTTGCTGTCCGTGGTGGTGACGGGTGGCGTGTGAGTCATCGGGAGGGGCGGGTCTCTGATTATTGTGGCATTCATCGTCGTGGAGGTCGGAGGGATGGCCGTTTACTCTTGCTCTATCCTCCGTTATCCTAGTGGTGTTAGGCGGCGGGGGAGGTTCCATCGACCTTGTCTAGTGGTGTTAGATGAGTTCAGAGGGAATTGTGGTGGGTGGATTTTGGCTCTCTCGGTATTTGATGGGTCGATTCGGGGATTGATTCGGGATAAGGGTTCTGCTGCTGTATAGGCTTGATTGCAGTTTCGGTAGTAGGTTCTTGGCCTGGATTGGTCTTGTGTCGATCGTTCACTGCTGGTTCGGGCTAGCTTGTTCGTTTGGGAAGGGCTGTTAGTTTTATGTTAGTTTATTTGTGTTTTTGTTTATTGTGCTTTTGTTTATTGTCCGTTTTTGTTTAGTGTGGGTTTGGGTTTTAGGTTTTGGGTCTTTTGTTTCGGAGATGAATATAGGCTAGACATTGTACAGTGGCTCTGTTTTTCATTTTTCTTTATTTTCGTTCGTGGAGTTCTCTAGGCCGCCATGTGCGTGTCCTCTCAGTTTTTATTCCAGTTTGTTTTTAGGCGTGTTTTTGGTTTGGACCGTTGGCCCCTGTCTCATTACCCTGCTGGGGCCTTAGATTACCCTGTTGGGGTCTTGTAATTTGTTCCTTTTGCACTTTTGTGCTCTTCTATATTACCTCTATCGTTCCAAAAAAAAAACGATAACAAATAATAACCTCAAATAATCCTTATTCAAACGGGGTATTACATAGTGGATAACGGTTCTTACCACAATTGCATTAACTCCACATTGTCCCATAAGTTGAATCTACCGGTGACTAAGGTGGATCCTTTTGATGTGAGGGTAGCTAATGGGGACCGATTGAGGTGTTCAGAAATATTGAAAAATGTGTCTATCAAGGTACATGGTGTAACTTTAAAAGCTAACCTTTACACGTTGACGTTGGTAGGACCAGATGTCGTGTTAGGTGTGCAATGGTTGGAAGGGTTGGGACCGGTAACGACAGATTATAAGGTGGGCACCATGGAATTTTGTTGGGGTGACGGAATGGTCAAGTTGTCGGTCGGAGCCAGTGAAGGAGCAAAGAAGGCGAGCATTAAGAATATGGAGAAATTGTAGAAATGGGGTAGCCAACTCTTTGCAATCAAAATGGATAAAACTGAGAAGGAGCTCGAGATTAAACCACTACATGACTGGGAGATACAAAACTTACTAAACCAGTTTGGTGAGGTGATGAACGAACCTAAGGGTCTTCCCCCAAGGCGGACCTTCAATCACCTTATCCCATTAAAGGACGAAACTCAGGCAGTACATGTTCATCCCTACCGGTATGCTCATTTTCAAAAAACAGAGATCGAGAAACTAGTCCGAGAGATGCTGGAAACATGACTAATTAGGCACAGTTCAAGACCATTCTTTTCTCCCGTACTATTGGCTAAAAAGAAAGACGGTACATGGTGTTTTTGCACTGACTACCGGACGTTGAACGCGGCGACTATCAAGAATCGCTTTCCAATCCCTAGCATTGACGACATGTTGGATGAACTAGGAAGGTCATGATATTTCTCAAATCTGGACCTTAGGGCAGGGTATCATCATATCAGGGTGGCGGAGGAAGACATTCTAAAGACTGCATTTCACACTCATCAAGGGCACTACGAGTATTTGGTAATGTCTTTTGGCCTATGTAACGCCCCGTCGACTTTTCAATTCACTATGAATTCCATCTTTCATGAGTTCTTGCACAAATTTGTTTTGATATTCTTTGATAATATCTTGATTTATTCGAAGACCTGGGATGAGCATCTTGAGCATTTGAAATTGGTGTTGAGCATTTTGGCGGCGAATGATTTTAACATTAAACCGTGTAAGTGCTCCTTTGGCCAAAGGGCAGTGGAGTGTTTGGGGCATATATTATCTCATATTAGGGTGTGAAGGTGGATCCTCGAAAAATTGAGGCAATACAAGACTTGACGAAATCGAAGAGTTTGACAGAACTGAGAGAAATCTTGGGACTAACCGGCTATTACCAGAAATTTGTCAAAAACTATGGGTCGATTGCTAAACCCTTGACGGACATGACCAAAAAGGGTAATGGACGGTGGCAAGTGAGAAGGCGTTTAATCAACTCAAGTTGGCTATGACTACTACTCCCGTCTTAGCCATGCCCAGATTTGGCATCATGTTTGAGGTGCACACCGATGCCAGCGATATAGGAATTGGGGTCGTACTTTCCCAAGAGAACCGACCGATTGCTTATTTAAGTAAGGCTCTGGGGAGCATGCGCATAGGGTGGTCAGTATACGTGAAAGAAATCCTCGCCATCATTGAAGCAATAAGGGCTTGGAGACCTTACCTCTTGGGCCGACGTTTCATGATTGTGACGGACCAACAACCTCTTAAGCACCTACTGGAGCAACGTATAGTGACCCTGGAGCAACAAAAATTTGTGTCAAAGCTAATGGGGTTCGATTTCGAGATTTGCTATCGACCGAGGCAACAGAACTTGGTGGCAGATGCACTATCTCGTCGCACTGATGTGACAGAACTCCAAGCCATTTTCGGACCAACAAGGGCTATATGGGACCAATTAGGGGAAGTACATGCTAGAGATCCCTTTTGTAATGAGATCCGCCGATTGATGGAAGTAAAAGATGACACGGCCCAACAATATGATATGTATGATGGGTTGTTAATGTTAAAGGGAAAGGTGTATGTACCGGAAGCGGAAGACTTGAGAATTTAAATCATACGGTACTTTCATGATTCAAAGGTGGGAGGTCATTCCGGGATATACCGCACGTAGGTGAGACTGTCAAATACCTTTTATTGGTCGGGGCAGAAAAATGAAATACGGGAATATGTGGCAAAATGTTCTGTTTGTCAACAGGTGAAAGCGGATTCACGAAAACCAAGTGGCTTGTTGCAACCCCTACCAATTCCTAATCGCATATGGGAAAATATATCGATGGACTTCATCGAAGGGTTACCAAAATCCAATGGGTTCAATGGAGTTATGGTGGTGGTAGACCGACTCACCAAGTATGCACACTTTATTTCGTTGACTCATCCGTATACAGCTAAATCCATAGCTAAGCTATTTGTTGAGATTGTGGTAAAGCTGTATGGAGTACCACGATCTATTGTATCTGATCGAGACCAGATTTTCATGAGTAACTTTTGGAGGGAATTCATCAAGATGAAATGGACCGAGTTAGCTATGAGTTCGGCTGCCATTCTCAGACGGACAGCCAAACTGAGGTAACTAACCGCACACTTGAACAGTACCTTCGATGTTATGTTCACCAATTTTCTACAAATGGGAGGGGTTCTTGCCTTGGGCCGAATTTTGGTACAACACCACTTTTCATGCTTCTACCAAATTCACCCCTTTTTAATTGGTATATGGACGAGCAATTCCAACGCTTGTTAATTATCTAGTGGGAAAGTCTCCGAATGCAGAGGTCGATCGTTAATTAATGGAACAAAATTTGCTAATCGGAGAGCTTAAGCAAAATTTGTCCGGATCCATTAACAGAATGAAGGAGTATTATGACAAGGGACATCGGGAGGAGAGATTTTAACTAGGCGTTTGGGTTTATCTCAAGTTGAGACCTCATCGTCAACAAACAATCTCACAGAAGGCATTGTACAAGCTTGGAAGTTGTAATTACAGGCCATATAAAATGAAAGAAAAGATTGGCGAGGTGGCATACAGGTTAGAGTTGCCAGTGGAGTCTCAAATCCATCCAGTAATGCATGTGTCTCAATTGAAAATGAGCTTAAGTGATGATCACGAGGCACATACTCGGTTACCGACATTGAATGGGGATGGACAAATCATCGTACAACCTCGTCGAGCATTGAAATATCCAAGAATAAAGAGACCCAGACGATTTCATTGGGAAGTCTTGGTGGAATGGGAAGATTTACCGGCAGAGGAGGCCACTTGGAAGAATATGCAGGATATTCGTAATGAATTCTCGAGCTTTATCCTTGAGGACAAGGATCTACTCGAAGGGGACGAGAATGATGAGAATGAAGGGTGTATCCTCAAAAACGCATACAATCGGGCCCGACGAGCTCAACTCAAGAAAGCTAGACTTGAAGCAGATGTAGGAACAAGTCTTATGTCCATGCAGCAGGTTTTCAAGGGTCTGCCACGCTGCGAAGGACACCGCGCCGTGCCGCTTCAGACCGTCATGCCGCGAGCTCCATCGATCACCACGCCGCAGAGAGATACGTGAAGGGCTTCACGAGCAGACAGAGAAGCAGTTTACCATGTCACGCTGTGACAAGTGCCACGCCGCGACAGTGAGCCAGGTAACGCGCCGTGAGGAGTAGCACGCCGCGGGGAGGGGGGAAAGGAGAGAGACGGGAATAACAGCGGTTCCAATTAGCAGTTTTCTTGTAACACCCCTCCTTATCGTTAAATCAGAGTGCGAAAAATTCGCAAAGTTATTTAAAAATAAAACCTTTTTACTTTGCGAAAACTGATTCGGGGTGCTACCTTAAAATC